ATTTAGCCGACCCCACGTAGTGGGATTAAGGCTTTGTTGTTGTTGTTGTTGTTGTTGGAGGGTGGGGTTGATGGATGACAGACATATTATGATACCTTTGGCCAAAGAAGAAGATTATGCAAGGCTTTTTGCTAAACAAGTTCTCTATCTAGATGGTATTTCCGAGAAATTATTAAAATAGACTATTGAATGTGATCCAACAAAAGAACCTCCTATTATACCCATTTGGTTCAAACTCCTGGGCTGAAGTTACACTTTTTCAATCACCAAGTCTTACTCACCATTGAAACTACCCTTGGAAGACCTATGAAGTTGGATGCTCCTACTTTTAATCTCTCTAGGCCTTCTGTGGTCGGTGGCTGAAGTTACACTTTTTCAATCACCAAGTTTTACTCACCATTGAAACTACCCTTGGAAGACCTATGAAGTTGGATGCTCCTACTTTTAATCTCTCTAGGCCTTCTGTGGTCGGAATCATAGTTGAAAGGGATATCACTCAACCTGAGGTGGAAGAAATCTGGCTTGGAACTGCTAATAATGGCTATTTTTTTATTTTTTTTATTTTTATATATTTTTATAGTATATATATTATCTTTAACTTTCCTAGTTTATCAAAACTATTTAATTTACCTAAATTTAACTGTTACCTTCCCTACGCAATGGCGCCAAAAACTTGATCCCGTTTTTTTATATGTAAGGATTTATGAAGTTGACACCACTACAACACCAAAAACTTGATCCTTGTATAAAAAGTAAGTTGTGTAAAATATATATAATTATAGGCAATTAATAATGGGATTCTACACAATTGTGTAAAATATATATAATTATAGACAATTAATAATGAGATTCTATACAAGTATACGTATCGTTATAAAGTAATAAATGACATTCTATTTAAGCCCCAAATATTGATCCCACAGGAAGGTGTAAATTGGCAATGATAAGTTTTACTATGAAATTTACAGAAAATCAAACGAAATCACAGTCACTAATGTCGAATGTTGAGATGTTATCAAAACTAAAGTACTTAACTATTAGAAAAGAAGAAATTCAAAGTTTAAAAAGTAAATACTAATTTACTAATTATGTTTATGTAATGAAGATTTTTAATGTGAAAAAGCATCCTTCCCACTACAATGAGGTTCTGGTGAAATGAGATGAGATAAATGTTTATAATACGTATTGTGCCAAATATGAGCAATTATAATTCTATACCCTAATAGAGTGCATAGAAAATCATTGACTAATCTAAGGTTTAGTCCCTAAATCTGTGGCTAGGCTAGAAATAGCGGCTCTCACTCCAGAACTCTCACTTTCCTTCACCTGAAGGCTAACTCTCACTTTAGTTTTTAAACACTAAGACCGA